GCTCGCGGGCGGCGGGACCGCCCAGAGCCCTGCGGTCCCGCCACCGCATCCTCTGGGGCGAGAAAAGCTGCTCTGGGTCTCCCTGGTGTGCTGGGGGGGATTCCCCCAGCACAGCAGGGAGACAGGAGCAAAGCCGCAGAGGCGGCGGGACCTCTGCGCCTCCGCAGCTTTGCTCGGGTCTCCCTGGTCTGCTGGGGGGGGAGGGGACACAGCTAGTGTGCCCCCCCCCCAACAGCAGACCAGGCTTTTGTTGCGGGATGCCTGGGGTAGAGCAGCTGGGATGCTGCCGGGTTGGTCCTGCGGGGACCTACCCGTCAGCGCCCCAGCTGTTCTGTCCCAGGAGTCCAGATTCAGCCGCTGTTGAAACTGATCAGCGGCTGATTCCAGGAAGCCGGGGGCAGAGCAACTCTGCCTAGGGCTTCCTGTAGTCAGCCGCTGATCAGTTTCAGCAGCGGCTGAATCTGGAGCCAGTTCCGACTTACATACAAATTCAACTTAAGAACAAACCTATAGTCCCTATCTTGTATGTAACCCGGGCACTGCCTGTATTATATAAAGTCCACCTCCTTCAGGATTCTCAAATAAATGTTATCTAGTTTCTGTGCATCTTATCCAGCAGTCCAGAATTTTTCCATAGCATAGTCCCTTTCCTTTTCATGGACATTCCTATAAAGGATTTTAGATTAGGTTACTTTTCTGATAGACACGGAAAATACTTTTGGTTCCTTTGTTTTGTGTGTTTAAAACCCTCACTGTCCTGATGATGACTATCTTGGCAAGTGATTTGCTGGCTTTGCCTTGACAGGCAGGTCGGAGAGAAACTTGTGTTCTGGATTGATGGATCTGAGGCACAGAAACTAACTTTCAGGTAAGAAAATATCCTTCAATCTGTGTATGGTAGGGATACCAGATCTAGAGTATTCGTATTTTCCCTAACCGTTCATGTTATTTCCTCTCCCTTTCCCACCAACCACTATTAAACAAACTGCTAATGATATATTTTCTGTTCTGCTTTGGAGGAGAAAATTAAATTATGACTAGGACAGTATCTGTAATTATTCTTTCTTACAAAATACACTTTAGATTTTTTTAACACTTTTTCATGAGATTTATTGCCTGTCTGTGTCGTATCTCTTTATGGAGCATCCATCTGCCTACAAATTATTGCCAGTTGTCGATTGCAGGATTATAGTACTAAAGATTGCTGCTAATTTTTTTTAAATAAAATTATATCAAATTATGACTTGGATTACAAGTAGACTCTGCATAGTTCTATAAGTCTGCCAATTTCATTGTACCCTTATTTCTAAATAGTTTGTTGACTCAGAGACTAACACTAGTGCTTCTTTTGTGACTAGGGTTGCCAGATGGTTTAACAAAAAATACCGAACACCCTCTCCCCCCACACACAAAAAGGGGGGGGGGGGGTAGACCAACGTTGTTAAAACAGCAACCAAAAAAAAGCATGGCGCCTTTAAATAACCTCACTCCTCTGCCCCCTCCAGACAGGGCAGGGGAAAGTTGTCCCCACGGGACTTCCGTCTGAGGGAAACAGGAAATACGGGACATTTCACATGTCCAGTATTTTTTTTTTACACCGGACGAGGAACCCGAATAACGGATAGTCTGGGCGAAACTGGACACCTGGCAACCCTATAAATTGTGGCTAATGTCCTGAATAATTCCCAGCTCTCTCTCATCTAACCATTTTTCTTCCAGTTGAAAGGAAAAGACTTGGATCTAAACTTACTGAATATTGTTTGAAGGAGTATAAATCAGCCACAATCAGCTGATTATGTCACTTGCTGATCTAGGCAAAAATTGTTTTGAAACAATTTATTAGATATAAACATGGACATAACTTCTTAGTTCAAGAGAAGTTGTTTAAAAATCCTCATTTCCCTAGTTGATTGCTGGGCCTCAGTTATTAGAAAACACAGAAGTTCTCTTTCCATTTCTTTCCTGCTGCTGCTGCTGAAAGACACACACTGGTGTCTCCTTCAGTTGTGTGCTTTAGGCAGAGAGGCTGGTGAAAAGCTCTCTTGAAATCTGATGCCAGGGGCTGTTGTCAGTTTTGAGACACATATACTCTCTATTTGTGGGTTGCATTTATACTATGAAGGTAACTTTTAAAACTGAAGCTTATGCATGAATGTTCTGGAGGTTTCTGGCTTTTTTTTTAATTTAAATAGAAAAAATTGAACACCCTTTGTTTGAAATCTTACACAACAATACTAAAGGTAAAACAATTTGCCACTTTCTTGTGTTTAAAAACAATAATCAAATTGTAGCTTTTATCCATTGTGCTATGCTTTGAAAATTCAAAAGGTCAAAAACCAGCTCTTATAGATGTGAAATGTATTTAAATTTTTTAATTTAAATGTAATTGGTCTTTCAACTGTTGGGGACTATGTAGCTGATCAGATAGTATCATTAATATGATTACAGTCTCACAGATGTCTTTACTTTAAAGCAGTGGTTTTGTATGCTACAAAGTGACTGTACAAAAATGGTATTCTGGAGTTTCATGGTGATAGTGCCTTAATTATTCTAGTTCAAACTTGCTTAGTGTTAAAAACGTTTCTTTTTCTGACAGCCTTAAACTCAGCCTTGGGCCTGAGAATGAAGCTAGTTCTTTCCTTCTTAAGTATCATCTGTAATAAAGATTCTACAGGTATTAGCCCAAGTAGAGATGTGCATGTTCGAGCATGGTTGGGTGATTAATGTTCCCATGTGGTTTTTATGTAATGCAATTCCTACAGTCTTGTTGGAGCAACCTGTAGGAGAGAGTTATCCTGGCCATTGCTTGGTTAATAAGCCCAATTAGATGTATTCTTGTATAATTGACCTAGGCCTATATTTGTTTCTATTTACTGCCTTTAATGGTATATAGAAATACCATACTTGTTTCGTATTCCAATAAAATTGAAGTGTGATTAGACTAACTTTCTAATTTTATTTTGACCTATCTAGAGAAGTTGGAAGCTGCCCCACCGTCCCCAGGACAGCTGAAACACGGTAAAAGAAAAAAATACTTAATGAATTTAGTCAGTTGTTGTCTGTGTTCTTTCATTACTCATTTTCAATACTTTTGTCTTATTTCCAAAACTGCAGGTTTATTCTAATTTCTCTTGTCATCAATGAGTAGAGCCATGCAAATTTGAGGACATTCACTTTATGTCCGTGGGTATCCACATCCGCGGATATGGATGTGGATATCTGCGTTTCATTTTTACAAATGCAGATGCGGATACAAATTTGGTATCCACGCATGGCTCTATCAATGAGAGCTACCTACATATTTTTCTTGGAGACTAGTGAGAGAACCTACATCGGGAGTGCACTGAGGCATGGAAAAAGCATCTGCAGCTACCTTTGCTTCTGTTTTCATAAAACCTTAAATGAGAAAATAAGATATTTTTGGTGTCTTACTGTTCCTAATGTCTAGTTTACCAAAACTATCATTACATAGGAAAATAAATTCAAAGCCAATATAGAACAGTGTATTGGTGGCAAGCTCTGTTTGATATGGTAGGATTTCTTTTTCCAGCTCTAAATTTTAATGACCAGACAGGTTCTTTTTCTTGTCACTGACCTCTTGCAATATTAGTTCAAGCCTTATTTAATGCTCTCTTTACAAACATTACAGATATAAATACAGGTGTTGGATAAAATTTCTGAGAATTTAGGAGTCAAGTCAGCCTGGTTACAACACAGTATTCTCTCCTTCAGACCAGTGGTTCTTAAAGTGTGGTCCGCAGACCACTAGTGGTCTGCAACTGTCTTGCAGGTGGGTCATGGGCTCGGTACTTGCCCCCCCCTGCAACAGGGAGACTGCGCTAGTGCTCCAGTTCCACCCCCTATAGGTTGGAGCGCCAGTGCTAGCTTCCCGCTGCTGGGGGAGGGAAGAGAGGGGAGCCTTGAAGGCTAGATCTGGTTTGTAGGGGATGGAAGTGGCTCCATGTGCTACTGCTCCCTTTCCTTCCAGCTGGGGGAATGGCAGTGCAGGAAGCTGCTCTCTTAGAGGCTTTCACTGTTGCTCCCACTGGCTGGAATCACAGCTAGTGGGAGCAGCAGGGGCAGTGCCTAGGAGCAGCAGGAGGCACGGAGCCAGGTAAGTGCCCCCTACTCTGCCCCCATGCTCTCCCACCACTACAGCCACTGAGGGGGGCAGGACTCAAGCCCAACACCCTGTGCTCCCTAGGCAAATTCCCTATCTCCTAGGCTACTCTAGAACCCACCCCACCTCCCTACCTTTGGAGGGTCCCTTACGCAGCCTTTTCCTCCCTCCCAGAACCTCCCCCCCAGCCTGCTCCTGCACCCTACCTTCCACCCACATCCTTCTGTACCCATTTTGTCATCATAGATGGGTGGCTGGTGGTCCGCGGAAAGGTTTGTGTTGGGTGGGGTGGGCATGGACAAAAACTTTGAGAACCACTGTTGTAGTCCTAGCTTTGGGAGCAGGGTCAAAATATTAGGTGCTAAGATTCAGAGCATTTCTTTTTTGGCAGACTTTGGTAAGTAAATTATTTCCTAACTTGGGAGAACAGGTTTCTCAGCAGTTCTTCCTTTCTTACAGAAGTAGGATAATCATCTATGTATGGGATGGTGGTGAGGGAATGCAAAATAAAAACTATTTGTGTAATATTAGGTTGAAATATTTAAATTTTTAACTGTGATTACATCTAGTTAGTGTTCATCTTCCATAAAAAAAATATAGGAAACAGATTTTCTGGCAGGAATGTTTGCCAAAGCAATTTATTTTTAAGCAAATATTGCAAATAATTCATGGAAAGCAGATTTCAGATTACCACATGTATTCATGCTTGTTGGCCTGCAAAGTGTTACTCGTATGCAGTGACCAAACTGAGTAATTGAAACAGTGAACAAATACATAAAACCTTCATTTCAATCATAGATAATTAATGAAACAGGAAATAAAAACATCTCACTCCAAACTGTCCCTGACAAATTTTGTGTTCAGCTCTGTTAGTGTAAGTAATTTTTCCTGCAGATCAGTGGACAAACACACTCCTACACCCATTTCCTTTTTTAGTTGCGTACATTTGTTGTAGGACAATGCTAAAGCCTCTTGAAGTTACTGGAATCTCACTGACTTCATTTAAGAGTTTCATCAGGCCCTTGTTGCAGATCCATAATTAGCAATAGATGTTGCAGTGTGTCTTCTGTTGCCTTTTTAATGTCCTCAGTGCTCAAGCTTGCTAACATGCCAGATGTTTACAAGTCACAATCCCCTACACATTTTCAAATGCATGTATGAAAGTGTTTACTGTTATGTAGAATATTTCCAAAATTATAAACACGACCATAAGTATTTGGAGGGAAAAAAAAGAAATTTACTCAAATATGTTTTTTTAGTTGCAAAAATGGGTTTGTATAGGTACCACTAATGGGTATTCTCAATTGGCTGTACCAGTCACAGTTTTTATTATCTCTTCAATTTCCCTTCAAAGTGAAATCAATGCTCACTCGCCCCCTCTCTCTCTCACGCACACAAACACACACACACCCCATTCCCTTCTCCCATGTGGTTGTAACTCTCTGTATGTTTACAAAATACAGAGTGTAGACTTTAAGACTATTGGGAAAAACTAGTATATGGCAGAAACACTGGGAATATACCAGAAAAGATGTAAAAATGAGTCTATTTCCTGCATTTATTTTTAAGTTATATATGGTATACTGTTTAATATTTATATTATAGTAGCATCCAGAGTCTCTAGTCAGGACTGAAGCCCCACTAAGACAGAGCAGTATAAATACATACAAAGACACATTCTCTTTTCCCAAAGTGCTCACAAGATCAGAGCTGTTGAGGCAGGAGAGATGATGATGATAGCAAAAAGGAGAAAAAAATGTGCTGTAATGAAAGCTTGATTATTAATGAAAGGTACTTACATCATAGCCCATACCAAGTTTATACTGAGTTCTATCAAGTGGCATTTCTTCTTTTGACCTGTCGTTGGTAAGGTGAGACTAGAAGGGGGGAAAAGGATGGTTTGGGAATGCAGAAAATGGAGGTGAAACTCCATTCTTCAAGCAAGAAATTGAGGAACAGATTTAGGTGCAGACCGTGTCTTGCACTGGCTAAGGACCATAAAGGAAGAAATGCTCCTTGGTGTTAGGAGTTTAGTGTAAAAAAACCAACAACAGTTCCAGGAATGTGTTAAAGGTCTCAGAGCCTGAGCTCAAACATCTACATAACCATTTTGTAGCCCTGCAGCCCAAGTCAGATGACCTGGGCCAGCTGCAGTCATGCTGTGGGTCTTCTATTACAGTGGTTCCCAACCTTTTTTATACCTCAGACTGGCAAACCTATTCACAAACTTTTGGCAGACTGGCAACATTTTATTTGCATATTCGTGGTGCAAATAGTGAATATGCAAATGAAATGTTACCAGTCGGTAATGGGTCAGAGTTTGCAGATATCTACAACACTAAAAAAATCCAGAAAGAATTCCCCTCTGGCTGCTGGATGAGGCAGCCCCTTCCCCAGGGGCGACTGGTGCCTGTAGAGGGAAGGGTCCAGGTAAGGGCACCTACAGGGGCAGGGGGCATTTGGGACACCCTATTTAGCAGCTTCCGAAATTTTGTCCGGGGCATAGGAGCTGGTGCCCCCAAGTGCTACCACCAGTCACCTCTGCCCTTCCCCCCCCTTCTGCACCATGGAGTAGAGGAGCTGCTATTGTATCTCCCCCATCTCCTTCTGTACAATCCCTGCCCTGCGTCTCCCCTAGCCTCCCCGTCACTCACCTCAAAGTTCCCCTCCATTGCACCTCTGCTCCCATCCACCCATTAAGTCTCTCTTGAATACTCCTAACCTCCCTTCAGTGCCTCCTGCATCCCCCTCACCCTCGTTATCTGCCCCTAACCCTCTTTCAGCCCCCTCCTGTCCCACCCTGGGCTGGATTCCCCTGGCCCTGCACACGCTGGGAGCTGGCGGCAGCTTCCCTGGGCCCAGGCAGGGATTGCGGCCAGCTCCTCTAGGAGCAGCCCAAGGCAAAACCCTCCCCCTGTAGCTCCAGGGCAGCGAAGCACTGCTCCTTGAGGGTGGGGGGGGGGGGTTCTCTCTTACCTGCCCCCCAAGCGCTGCCCATGCTGGGGCAATGGGCAGGCTGGGTAGGGGCTGGCCAGGCTGGGGGCGCTGCCCTGGGAGTGGCTCCTGGGGAGCAGCGGGACCGGCCCTGATGGAGATTACCTCTCGTGGCTGTAGCCTGGGCTCTGGAGGCCCAGTAGTGCCCCCCTCCGCCACCGCTCTCCCCCACTCTCCCCCCCTCCCCTGGGGCTTGGGGATCCGGCCCAGAGCCTGCTTCAGAATCCCCTGCTACAGGGGCTGAGCCCAGTGATGGCTTCCTCCTTGCCTGCTACTGCTGCTGGGTTCTAGCACTATACCGCCACACTTAAGCTCCTTCCCAGAGACCCTCCCTGCTGCTGTTCAGTCCTAGCGCAACACCCACCCCGTGCTCAGACAGTGTGCCGAGGCCCAGCAACCAGCGGTTCGCGGCCCGACACTGGTCCATGGACTGAGGGTTGGGACTGACTGTTCTATTGCAGTGCAGGCATTACCAATGAAAACAAAAAAAGTCAGGACGACAATACCAAGCCTTATAAAAGTGGCTGGAGAGAGACTACTGAATGTCAATTAATCTTTTAAATCTGATGTGTAGAACTTGAAGAACAGTTGAAATTTGGATTTATGTGTATTCGTGAACTCAGCTGTATATTCTCACCTCTTATTGCTCATTTCTTCCAGTGTTCTTCCACAATGCAATACCTTTTGTAGGCTTTGGATTCTTGGATAATGCGATTATGATTGCTGCAGTAAGTTTGTCTTTATGTCTGATTTTGATAAAGAAATTGTAGTATCTCAGATTAAATGAACATAGTTTCCACTCCTCATTTTTATTATGACTTTTTATTATAAACTTTTTCCCACCATGATTATAACTTCAGTCCTGTTTTAGTACTTGTACTGGGAATGGTTTTAAATTTTTTTTTTTATACAGAATATTTTCAAAATTTGCTTTTTTACCTCTTTCTAATAAGGGTGCTTATGTCTGAAGGGACACATTTAGAACTGATCTTATTTTTGCCTGGTTTGAAAAGAACTTGCTTTTTTCCCCTCTCTGCTCTTACAGATCTGTGCAGTGTGAGTGGTCTAATGAGTCAAGAATCCCTAGTTCTGTTGACTGTCACACTGCAAGTCAGTGTCCTGAGAGATGTCATGCAACATCTGATTCATTTATAAAATGGTTATAATGCATACGTAGCACACTGGAGTGCTGTGATGCTTAATGTTTAGTAGAAAATGTTTGAGATTTGGTGATAAATGGTCCTGTGAAAATTCTGTAAGTGCTGTTGCTGCTTTTTGTTAGATATAATAATTTATTACTTTAGTGGATTTATAATTGGAATACTTTCAAATATTTTACCTAGTTCATAGATTCCAAGACCAGAAGGGACCATTGTGATCATCTAGTCTGAACATCTGTGTAACACACTCTAGGAATTGTTTTGGGGACATTCTATGAAGGCAAACTACTGGAATAGGAAATGGAGTAGAGTAAAAAAATCTTACATCTAGTCTTGATTTTTACTACTGAATCGGGAGCATTGGGCTTGCTATTTAATCTTTTTCTGTCATCTTCCCCGTCTGACAAAAGAGGCCTGAACTGTCTCATGTGGCATTGCGTATTTATTATTTTGTTCAGCATTTGAAGATGTAAATGTGTTTAAATAATTATAACCTGTATTAGTTTTACATTTAGCTAAGAGAATTAAAATGAGAAATGAGTGTGCTAAGATTGGGGCTCACTTTGTCATGTCCACTAGGTGGCCACTGTGAAACAAATATAAAACATGAAATGACTAGATGAGGTATTAAATAACTGAAAGGAGGCCTGTGTTTTAAAGGTTTGGGGGAGGCTGGAGGAAGATATATTGGTCAAATAGAAGGGATGGTATTCTCTACTTTTATCTACCTCTGTACTTGTAAATAACAAGTAAGCAGCCATCAGTCTATGAAATATGAATGTTCTCATCTTATTTCAGACCATTAATGTCTCAAATAATGACAGGAAACATTTTTTTATTTTCAGGGAACCCAAATAGAATTATCAATTGGAGTTGTCCTGGGAATAACTACTATGGCAGGCAAGTAATGTAAACACAATAAATAGAGTAAAATAGCAAATTCCTTCAATCTAGGCTGCAAATAAGCCACATGGATTTGAAGCAGCTGTTTCTTGATCCATAATTTAATCTTGTTCCAAGAGCATGAACTCTAAGTTGTTAAAAGTAAGTATGCCATCTGTAGTAATGGGGTTTTCAACTGAAATAGCCTCTAAAGGTATTGATAAGTTGCATACATATCCAGCTGTTACGTTACTTTTAACAAAGTGGTGTTCTGTAGGGAAGCTATAAACAATCAAAGGCCTAATTCTACAAGCATTTATGTGCCTGTGATTCCAAATAAGGTACACGGTAATGAGGGCAATCAGCAAAAACAGACCCACAGGCTATAGCACTTAAGTGTGTTTAAATGATCTTGTCTGCTTACCAATATTTTACAACATGTTGTTTTAATTCTATCGTACTAGTTGAAAGAAAACTCTAAAGTTCCAGTTGCAGAGAAAATAGCACTTAAATGCTGACATGGAAGTACCACTGAATGTCTTGTATAAATCTAGATATCATTCTTCTGCAAAATTCTGTCTTGCTACAAAATTATTCCAAGTAACTTTTGGTTAACTCATTAACATTGGCCAGTGCCTGATACTTCAGTGGTAATGAACAAACAGAACAGGGCAATTATTGAGTGAACATTGTCATCCACTCCCAGCTTCTGACAACCAGAGGTATATAGATAACGAAGACATGGCTTTCATCCCTGACCGTGTCTACTAATAGCCATTGATGGGCCTATCCTCTATTAACTCAAGTGACTCTCTTTGAATTCAGTTATGCTTTTGGCCTTGACAGAATCTTCTGGAAACAGCTTCCATTCATTGACTGTGTGTTGTATAAAGATGTACTTCCTTATGTTTGTTCTAAATCTGCTGCCTGTTAATATCATTAAGTTACTCCTGGTTTTAGTATTTTGTGAAAGGATAAACCACACTTCCCTACTGACTTTCTCCACACAATTCATTATTTTATAGATCTCTATCATTTTGGAATGCAGCAATTTATAATTTTCAGGATTTAACAGGTGGGACAGCAGCTCAGGAGGCAAGAGGAAGTAGTTTGCCATCTATAAAATGACTTTGTCCTTTTAATGTTCATTTAATTAAAAACAAATCTAACAAAAAAAAAGTAAACCTGCTTGTGAATTTTGCTGCTTTTGCAACATAGGTATTTTAAATACGTGCAATGTAAAACATTGCTCTTTCAGCCATTTTATCAGAAATCTTTTCTTGGACTAAAATTGTTCATGGATACCAGTGCCACATTATGGAAAATCTGAGACCTAGCTTTACAACTTCTAGTGTCAGTGTTGCTGCTTCTGCTAACTGACTGGAAGCTGTTTTTTGTGGCTCAGACTAAGGACTCCTTGCATCAGATGTATCAAGTTGGCTGATTACTGTGGCTGTTGTTAACTACAATGTGAAAATTTGTTGTGTTCCAAGTTTGAATTGAGTATCTTGAATTTAATTCAGGAAAATAAGTGCACTGCCTATTACATAAATTGTTTCCTAGCGCTTCCAAAATTTGCTGCTAAAAGAAATCCTAGTGTAAGAGAATATACTTAATTATACTTACACTATATGTCTTAATTATTCTTTTACAAAACCGACTGGTAAAAGAGTATTTTTGTTTTTCAAACTTTCAGCTGCTGCTCTGGGAAATCTTGTTTCAGATTTAGCTGGACTGGGGTAAGTTCGGATTTTGCTTGAAGTATTTTATTTACTGATTTCAATTTCCCCTTCTCTCCAATGAAGTGTGATATGCTGTAGAAATCGCTTTTGATGTTTCTGGTTCTTGAAATGTATTTTAATAAACTAGGTATCCTTAAAGATTATGATGATTTCCCTTTTCTCCTTGCTTGGTTAAGAAATAAAGCTACATTCTTCTTTGAATTACTGCACATGTGGCACCCACTTATGGTTTTTGTGTGTTCCCACACGGGAGTTTGGCACGTTTTTAATTGCAGTGTCCAGTACGTGCCCTCATTCCTCTATCCCCCAAGCACATAAAGTGGACAGTAATCCCAAGTGCAGATGAGTTCCTTATAACTGCCTTTCACTGTGTGTCAGAACAACCGTGTGTGTGTATGCACTGCACAGGAAACCAACAAAACAGGGCAGCGAGTCTCACAGCCTGGGTCAACTGACTCAGGCTCTTAGGGCTTGCGGTATAGGGCTAAAAATAAAAGCCAAAAAGCTTGGGTTTTGAAACCAGCAAAGAGGAGCAGAGGAAGGAAAAGGTGGGGTTGGGTCTTCGATCCCTAGTTGTAGGCTGAGAGGAAATGTCCACGTTGCTATTTTTAGCACCTTAGCGTAAACCCAAGTTGGTCAACCTGGGCTCTGAGACTGACCGAGACAGGTGCCTGCCCCACATAGTACTTACATCCCTCTGTAAGACTCTGATTGTTCAGTACTTGATCTGATAGTTGGCAGTTTGTTTGGGTTATAGTTTCGGTTTCAGGTCGGACCTCCCAAAACCGGGAATCTCTGGTCCAGGAACATCCATGGTCCTGGACCCACAGCATCCTGGCTGGGAGCTCAGTGGCAGGAGGGTTAACAGCTGGGTGCCCTGCTGGGCTGGGAATCCAGCGGGTCTGATGGCAGCAGGACTGGGGCCAGAGCCTCGATGGCATAGCTGGGGCCAGAGACGTAGCAGCCCCGTAGTAGTGGCAAGCATGGTAGCAGGGCTGAGGCTAGAGATGTAGCAGCCATGGCAGCCCCGGTAGCAGGGCTTGAGATGCGGCAGCCCCGATAGCGGGGCTAGAGTCAGGGGTGCAGCAGAGGTGAGTCATGGCGGCCTGAGGTGGGGAGTTTGGGAGGGTCAGTGGGCTGGGGAACCAGTAGCAAGGAACCTCCCCTGGCCTGGCAAATAACCTCCTTCGGGACTTGCCCGGTCCCAAGGGTGCTGGACCAGAGAGGTCCGACCTATAGTTGGTTAGCAGTAGTGGTTTTTAAAGGCAACAGCTTATGGCAGAGCTCCGCTCTCCAGGCTTCAAGCCACATCCCTCCTATGAGGGATTGTTCTTTTTACTCGGCAGGCCTGCTTGCCGGACCGCAGCACATTGCCCGGCCACACGCCCAGCTTTTAATTAGCCCCGGCTGCTGGGGTTCCCCATAAGAGAATTCCCTTCTCACCCACTTCCCCACGCAGCAGCAGGATGAGTGGGGCGGCTGGCAGGTGGGTGGTCTGCGGCTGGTGCCGGAGCCACAGTGAGGCTGTCCATACTGGGGCAGCCTCACCATAGCCCCAGTTCCAGCTCCAGCAGTCGCTGTGTGGCCCAGCTGTTGGGGTCGAGTGGAGAGCAACTGCAGTGCTGCAGGGGGGCGGCTGAGGCTGCGTGATAGGCAGTTGGGACCTGCTCCAGCAGGGTAGCTGGGGCCTGCTGCGGCTGTGCGACGGGGCAGCTGGGGTCAAGGCCACCCAGTGGGTGGCTGCTCTGGTGGCCAGGGCTGAATAACGTAATATGGGTGGGGGCAGGAGTCAGGATTGGAGTGTTTGCGGTGGCTAAGGTACATATTTTGGTGAATCGGTAACATTTTATTTGCATATTTATTAATTGCATATTGAATTTGCAAATAAAATGTTGCAGGTCTGTCAAGCGTTTGTGAATGGGTTTGCCTCTAAAGAAAATAGCTTTGAACTAGCATTTCAATCCAGTTATGGATTTAAGTCTCACTCAGATCCTTGTATCTCCTGACATAGCTTCTGCATTAGAGGTTTCTTCATTGCCAAAAAAGAAATTGCACAAATGGAAAGTAAATAAGTCTTGGCAGGCATTGGGAAAAGTTCTTCCTATTTAACCTGAGGATGCTTCTTATTACTGCTCTCCTTGGGTACGTCTAAACTACATGCCTCCGTCGACGGAGGCATGTAGATTAGCCAGATCGGCAGAGGGAAATGAAGCCGTGATTATTTTAATCACGGCTTCATTTCCCTCTGCCGATCTGGCTAATCTACATGCCTCCGTCGACGGAGGCATGTAGATTAGCCAGATCGGCAGAGGGAAATGAAGCCGTGATTATTTTAATCACGGCTTCATTTCCCTCTGCCGATCTGGCTAATCTACATGCCTCCGTCGACGGAGGCATGTAGATTAGCCAGATCGGCAGAGGGAAATGAAGCCGTGATTATTTTAATCACGGCTTCATTTCCCTCTGCCGATCTGTCTAATCTACATGCCTCTGCTGACAGAGGCATGTAGTCTAGACACAGCCCTTGATTCCTCTGGCCAAACTTCTTTCCCATATAGTCCAGGAACCATGCCCATATTGGAACTTCCTCTGGCCAAACTTCTTTCACATATAGTCCAGGAACCATGCCCATATTGGCCCTTGTGGCCTCACTAGTTGGTATTTTGAGGGACAAGCTCTCTCGCAGAATATGAAATCTATTCATGAGTCACCTGCCGCAAACTCTTATAATGCTGATTGCTCTCCTCATCAAGCTCAAGATGTGTAGCATGTCCTCGAAAGGATTTGAGTGTCTTTATCATCACATCATTGTCTGGCTTCATCATCACTGATTGTTGTTGCAGCCAGTGAGCGATTCAAGCAGACTGGGCAATCTGTCCCTAAGGGGATTGGATATTTTTGGAAATAAAATTTACTCGTCAGCATCTTTACAGATCAGGATAGCAGAGTGTCAGGCCAGGCCATCTACATACGATTAAGTGCTAGGGGCAGACTATCAGAGTTTAAGGACAAATTATGCTCAAAATAGAGATGAGTGTGTAGCTATTTGTGAAGAAAAGCAGATGATTGCTAAAACTTCTCTTCAAGCTATGTTAGATGCTGCTGATTTGAGTGCTCATTCAATGGCATCAGGTATCATGATGCAATGCTCATCTTGGTTCTCTGCATCAGGTTTACCAAAAGAAATGCAAGTGACAATAGGAAATTTGCTATTTGACTGGGATCTATTCAGTGTCAAGCCACATGAACCTCTGCATTTAAGACTCGTTTTGCACGCTGAGCTCATTTGTTTTTGAAAAGAGTTTATAAAGCCAATTAGTTTCATCCTCCGTTTTCATTCTCCAGATATGAGTGCTCAGTATTCTTCTTTTTTATATTCCCAACTCCAAAGACCCGTCTCAGCATTCTAGAAAGAAATCTGGATAGATATCAGAAGTACCAGTCAGCTCCACTACTCTCTTCTAGAATTCCTCCGTTGGGTCAGAGAGACAGACATCAAATTTGATATGTTACTCAAGGATCTTGGAGTAGTCCATGAGGATGCATGCTCTTTTACTCTGCCCTTTTGGTTCCCACTTGTTTCCTGGAAGCTTGGTGGCAATCATCTCAGATTGATGGGTCCTTCAAGTAATCGGTGATCGTTGTTCCATTAATTTCAATCCTGGTCTCTTTCCTACCACCATTCCTAGTCCCCTATTTTCACAAGTGTCATGCATCAGAAGACAGATGAACAGATCAAGTTTGGAGCCATGGGCAGTGGGTGAAGATAGGACTGGGAGAGGCAAGACCCTCCTTCCCTGCCCCTAACCATGTCCCTTCTGTCCAGGCTCTGCCTGGCAGCACTATGCAGAGGTGGGATGGCATGTGGCCCCAGGCTCCCTGGCACCAGAGCACTGGGGAGGGAGGGTGCTCGGGGCCTCAACACTTGACCTCCAGTATGCCTACAGTAGGCTTTCTAGGGCAGAGTGTGGGCAGGGCCATGCCAAATGCTTTGGGAAGGGAGTGCCTTCCCCTCCTATGATTACTGCCACCCCGTTTGGAGCAATAGAGTTAGTTCCTCATCAATATATGGGAAAAGGTTTCTATTCTGTTTCCTCGTAGTAGCAAAAAAAGGTGACTTTTGTCCAATTCAAAATCTCAAGAACTCAACAAACTAGTTTGATGTGCCAAGTTCCGCTTGGTAATGATTGCTTCTGTTATCCTTGCACTTGAACCCATGGATTGATTCATTACCTTTGACTTGCAAGACACTTACTTTGTGCGCTACATGTATTGATGCATAAAAATATCTGTTTTATGGCTCTTTCAGAGTACGACTTTTTGGAATTTCATCTGTACAGAAGATATTAACAAAATTCCTGCTAGTATGCATCCCGTCTATGCCGAGGACTATATTTATTGCATATTTACCGTTACCTAGAAGACCAGCTTGTGTAGTGAAAGTGATGAATATAGGTCATAGCGGCAGCAAAGAACGTAATTTATTTTCACTCTTGGGTTTGAGGATCAACCTTAATCTGACCCCATAACCATACACAGAGTTCATTGAAGTTCTAGACTCAATAGCAG